TTATGGTAGATGAATTATTGAGAGTTGTAGTAGAGACATGAAAAAAGGCTGGGAGGAAGAGGAAGTACAGTCTGGTTAATTTCAGTGAGATGGCATTTCAATTTTACCAAAGGCCCTGGAATAATGGCTTTTTTATGTATCTGCCTCGGTGGCTTGGATCCCACCACATTTCTTCCAAGCCTGAGATTAGCCAGTGATTCCAATCACTTCCTGGACTAGAATAGTGATCCCCAACCTTTTTGAACCAGTGGGCACATTTAACAATCTGAGAAACTTCTGTGGCTGCCATCACAAATGTCCGATCTGTGGATCATAGCTGCCATAGCTCTGAATTTTAAGTTGCATCTCATTCAGTAAAAAGTTTTGTTTCCTGTTTATTGGATGCCACAATGCCTCGTCAATAAAGACCTGTATAATTCAGTTAATTGCTGGGCTTACAAAATAGATAATGCTCCCTTTGGCAGTGACCAATGGTTGACTCTATTTGGTAGCAGGTTATTATGCAGACTAAATTTGTACTGGGTCACTCTTTAATATTCTCTAATGTGTATGTTCTTTACCTGCTTGTAAATTTACAAAAGAAGGAAAAATGAATCGTCTGCACCCTTTTGACAGCTATAAGATTGATACTAAATTGATGGGATATTGAAGGATAACTTTTTCCTATAATGCAACAGACTGAGGATCTTTCAGCATTTTTGATACATTAACAGTTGGCAAATAGACACTAACTTCAGATGGGGAACATGCAGGGCAATGGGGAAGACGCAGGAGCAGTATCTACTGACATTGATTTTGAGCTGGGTAGACTGATGGGTTATCTGCTGCCATTTGGAGGAAATGTGTGGATAGGGATTCATGTAACTACTCATGAATAGTTACCGTGCAAATGTGTGAACAGAGGACACAAGTTAAGAAAGGTATTCCTTATATACAGTGGGGCTATAGACACATAATGCTATCATAGATCAGATCCTGTTGTTTGTCCTTAAGTTTCATGAGGAATTGGCCTTATATGAAGGTTTGGTGATGCAGGGTACTCATCATCCCATTTCCCCACCCAAATTGAAAGAAAAAGCAACATAAGTGACCCATAGTAAACATCCAGGAATTGTATAATCTAAAGAACTACTGTGTGATTCATACTGTTAGACTGGAATGGAGATAGAGGTTGTGGCAGCTATCAGATCCTGTGGAACATACTGCCTTCATGACAAGAGAGCAACCACACATGTGCCACGTTTACAGCCTGCCCCACTTCTTCATTCAACCTGGGGGAAGCTGCCCATTGATACTGTGCAGCCATTTGATAAGAGGCCTGCTGCTTGTCATTATGCTATTATCTTTATAGACTATTTTAGTAAATTGATCAAAGTGGTTTTTATTCCAAATGCATTCTGTTATCAAGTTCCTTTCTTCAGTTTTCAGTTCAGAAAGAGAACCCATGGAACTGATTTCTAATACTGTCACCCAGTTTACTTGTGTAGAGTTTGACACTTTCCTGACAGTATCAAGGAATATCAAACACAGATGCTCATCAGTTTATTATCCACAGGTGAATGGAGACATACAGCATTTTAATAGAAATTTGAGTCTACAAGCAACTGATGTAGAAGGTAAGGCACAGAAAGCTTTCACTATAGAATTTTTACAAGTTTTTAGACACAAAGGACAAAATTTATCTACTGAATTATTAGATGGCAGGGAAAGATACACAAAGCTTAGTGTCGCTAGGCTATTGTCAGATATGAGGCAAGAGGTCTACATATCACTGTTACAAACCAAGGAACTAGGAATACAATATTGTTCATTTGTATGTATGAAGAAACCAAAAATCCTTGGGAAAGGATGGAGTATGACAACACAACTTCAAACTGACTGGAAGCCAGGTGTTGAATACCCATCATCTGGTTTCTGCCCATTCTGACTCAGCTGCAAATGCCTTCATATGGAATGCCAGGCACCTGGCGCCTACTCAGTATGATTCACTTAATGACGCTAATGGTCATCTAGCTGGTACTGATGACTCCTACTACCCCTTGCACAAAATGGACCACAATAATCCCTGCCTTATCAATGCTGTTAGTGCATCAAGCAATAACATAGTCTTTAGAACATACAGGTTATCTAATTTAATAATCAGATTGCAGTTAACAATGTTATTGATTTAAGGAAAACTTCTGTTATGCTGTTCACAAAGATACATTAGTCTTTATGTATTAGCTAGTTGATTGTGTGGGGGAAAGGGGTTTTTAATTTAAGAAAATATGTGGTATTGTGGTAGGAGAAGTGCAGGGTGGGAATAATAGTAGAGGTATGAGAAGAAGCTGGGTGGAAGAAGAAGGAAAGATTCTGGATGATTGCAGAGTGATGCTGTTTGTTTTAGTTTCAGGTTTAGTAAAGGCCTAGAATAAAGAAGATGTCTCTGTTTTGGGATCTTTATTCAGGAAGACGTCTCTGCATGATACGTGATTGTGCAGAAAGACCCTGTATGCATATCTATCATGCTTACAGCCTCTGTTCAGAGTGGATGTGTAGATGGCAGGCATGTGGCCAGTGCCATGGCTGAATGCATTCTTTTCTATGCATCATTTGTTTCCACATTGCTGAAAGGTTTTTAAATTTCCCATCCTCAGAGACTATTTTTGCATAGTTCTGTGCTCAGAAGATCATACCTTTTGCAACAGATTATGAAGAGCTGTCTGGTATGAACATAGTTCATATGGGGTGCCTGATAAATAACACTCCACACAAAAGAGTACAGTGTAAAATGTACTCAGCCTGTCCTGTAAGAAGTACCTTGTATAGGAAGACCGATAATAGGGTACACATTTCAGAATGTGAAACTGGTCATTTGGAAAAAACAAACAAACCCCATGTTCTGGTTAGAGTTAAATCCTGAACCCTTGAAAGATAGTTTGCTCTAGGCTTCTAATGCTACCCAGCTCTTACTGATAGTTTTCCCACCCCTTCTAGTAGAGAAAGGGGCAAACAGTTGTGTTGAGAGCTTACAGGACAGGAGATATTTGGAAATGATTCCCTTCTAGGGCATATACCAGTTGTCTGGATTCAGTTCAAGAAGTTACAAAACTAGAGTCCATGATCCCTAGTAAGCAATGTGTTTCTATCTTCATATATGGCAAATCTTGTAAGGCTTTTTCTGTATCTAATGGGTTTGTTTCAGTGGTGGCTATTAACTTCCCTTTACAGAAGTATTTAAAAATTGGGGAAGATAGAGATGATATTAGAGGGTGGTTATGCTCTTTGCAAGAACTCAGCTGCTCAGCAAGTTAACTAAAATATCTATGGTAAACATAAAAAAATTTCCTGGAAAGTGTTTTGCTTCTTTCCAAGCAAGTCAAGTCATGTTTAAACCAAAACTTATAAAAGGAACAGAGTGTAATGTTCAACCTGAAAGCATGGAAATATGAAATAATATTTGCTGCTAACAAATTTTAAAATACATTCTGGAAGAACTCAATTATTTTTACTGGCTTTACTGTAGTTTTTAACAATTGGGCAAAGGATGTTCATTTCAGGATTTAGATATTACAATCTCCTGAGTGCATCAATTCCAGCTCCCCCCACCCCCACATGTTACTATTTGTTTGAAGGACCTGTTTTAAATTTTAAGTGCCTAATAAGTTTTTGACATAATAAACAACTAAATAGGAAGTTTCAGTAATATGGCAATGCATTCTTGATCAAGTTCTGTGTGATTATTGCTAAACTACTTTTTGCTTCTAAAGGTTTTCTTGTCACAAGATGGAAATTCTAATAAGCCCTCAAAAAAATAAAAATGCTACAATGAGAACAGTTGCAGTACATGTATAAACCTGCTATATGTGACAGAACAAAGTCTTCCAGTCACATGAAACAGTATTTTAATATCAATTCAGTGAAATTTGAAAGATGCCTCAATGTTTGATTTATAAAGAAGCTTCATGCTGCACAAAATAAGTAACTGCAAGTTTAGTATCTTTCTTTTGACATATTTGACACTATACTTTTGTAAAATGTAGTATGAACAAGGAATTTATATACTGCATGTGGGAGCAGTACTGACTCCAAGTTTTTGATGGCCCTTGGGCAAGAAACCCTCCATGGGCCTCAGGTGAGCCCACCTTCTCATTATCATTGACATCACCTGTGTTGCTACTGATCATGTATCTCATCTTTGCTACTGGCTTACTTGATTGGAAGATCCAAGTGTGGAATCATGATACTCTTCCATGCTGCCACAGGTGAACAAACACACTGCAGCAATGAAGGAAAAGTAGAGATCCAGGTAGCACTCGTCTGTGCTCCCTCACCTCCCTCCTTCCTAGCTCTTTCTGCAAGTGTTCTGCAAAGATATTAAATGCATTTTTATTTTTCATATGCATTATTTTAAGCAGAGTTAACTTTCCAATAATGTTTGTTAGAGCCAGGGATTTCAAGACTTCCTCAAGGATTTTCTAGCAGACTTTATTATGCAGTCTTAATAAACATTTAACTTATTTTCTTCTGGAAGAGGTCATATCACATTTTATTTCATCTCAGAAGTTTAGTGTTGTTGGTTTTTCTCCACTTTGCCAAAGCTTACTTCCATATTGCAAGTATTTCAGTGATCAGATAAATAAGTATACACAGGTCCCTAGTAGGTCTCCTCTATATATCCAACAATAGGAAAAATACTTAAGGCATGTTTGGTTCTACCCCCTCATTGCAAACCTAGTTTTCTTACATCTTTAGGGTAAGAATGCATACATCATGGCACCTTGTACATCTGAAGTCAATGGATCCCTTTGTACATTTGTGCACTGGAGATGGTAGGGTTATTTAACGCCAGTCATAAGATAATTAACTTGTATGTGTAATATGTATGTATAATATTATTTACATGATATTTTTCTTCATTAATAGATTGAAATCACAGACTTGCATCAATTTGGTGAGATTTTAAGCCAAGCAGTTACTCAGATCTGATCTCGACGTGTCAACTACTTATTTCTCCCGCAAAACAATGAGTTCTACAACACAGCCAGGTCAGTCTGCTTCTTTAACCACATGCTGTTGTGCAGAATTATATTTATGCCTTCTTAACTTGGAGGAAAGAATTGATTTCAGAATCGGAGTGCAAGCATGATTTGATTTTCATTCAGAGAAGAAAGAGGTACCATGAATGTGAAGCAGACGTACATCAACCAATTTCTCTGTGTATTTGAATACTCAAAGTTTAACGCCACATGTTAAACTGTAGTTTCTAATCTAAAACTTTTGTGCCCTGCATGGAGCTCAATCCTTTTCCTCACAATAAAATATATCACCTGCAATAACTGTTTAGTATTTCCTAATATACCTATCTATCTGAAATATTTCTACTCTGCTTTTTTGTCTTATTTGTATCAAAAGCTGTTGAATATGCTGTTTATTTGTGTTAAAGGAGTCCCTTGTACTGAAAGTCTCGTTTCCTCTTTGCAGTTAGATGCGTAACAGCTTACTTTGCACAGATGAATCAGTCCACTGTGGTTTATTTAACTGTTGCTGAGTTCTGATGACATGACTACCTCTAACATAGAGGTTAGATGTATGGAATGACACTTGTGCGTAGTTTCAGGAGCCACAGTCCACTGTGGCTTAAATAAGCAGTGGGGCTAATTTGTTTGTGTGAACCAGCCTCATAATTTCAAATTTGTATAAGCAGGGCCCTTCATGCTCAGAAAAAGGCTTGGTGCATCACATACGGCACTGCAGGAATTAACATCTTTCCCATCCACATATACTCATCAGCATCTGTGGTTGCATTCCTGATACCCCTTCTTGAATTGGGACTGCCAAGCACATAGTAAGAGCTCCAAGCTTTTGTTAGGCTGATGATGCATTTTAAGATGAAGTTGATTCCAGTGATTTATCCTCCTCAAAACAGTTTTGTCAAATGTGATGGTGTCAACCATTTGTTCATTGGAGATGCTTGGCCTCTATTTTTAGCCACCATAGGTACTTAGAGACAGAGGTAAGTGTGACAGTGGGGAGACATGGGGCTTATCACAGGCCTTGGTGATAGGGCTATCCTTAGTTACTGGCAACCCCCTAACCAAAAGCAGCTGCTCATACAGACCTCATCTTGAAACATAAAGCCCAGATTTACATCTATATAGGCAGCTTTATTCTAGGACCTAATTATGTCAACCATATAATTCTGGTATGATATATCCTATTATCTTTAGCAATACTCTTTGGTATAAGAGAAAGAGGTCAGTCTCTATACAAAATAACATCTAACTAACAAATCACAAATGAGCACAAATATGATGTCACAAAGTATAATATTCAGAAACCAACATTTCAGACTTTCAGAACATTGCCACTGACTGTAAGGTTGGCATATTTAATAGCAAAGGGAGTGAAAAACTACTGAAATGCAATATATTAGAAGTTAAACTGTTGCACCTTCAGTTTGACTCAAGATCACAGGCTTTCATCTTACTATGGGGATTAATTAGTCAATAATTATACATTATTTCAATGTATTTTATTGTGTTGTAAGCCGCCCCGAGGCTTCGGCAAGGGGCGGCATAGAAATGTTATAATAATAATAATAATAATCATAATAATATAATAATAATAATAATAATAATTTCAATTTACATGCTGCCCTACCTGGGCAGCTTATATCATGATATTAGCTTCTCAATTGTTGGAAATTTGTTGAAAAAGGTTTGTTGAACAGTTATTAATTTTTTTAATATTTACATTCATGTAATTATCCGTGATAATTCTTCATGAGTCCACCCTGTCTCACTTGCCTGGAAGTGTGCAAGAGGCCCCATAAGCCTCTCATTTTGGAGGAGGCTGATGAGGGTATCAAGATCTGGCAACCATGTCCTCTATCCCTCCATTGCAATTAAATATCTTTGAGACCTGACCATACACTCAGTCCAGGAATTTATTTGTCATTACCAGAACTGAGCTTTCAGCTCAGTTCCTTTCACATGGAAAACCATCCTAGGTTCTCCTTTCACCACAAGTTTTCTTCATTTCAGTAACCAAAGAGTGAGAGAGCAGGTGAGGGTAGGGTTTGCAGAATGCAACAATCAATTGTGGGCAAGTAGTCACAGTAGTTTATCATGTTTAAGTAACCTGTGATGGGCAAAATCTTCCCTTTCTATTAAAGAACCGAGATGCTTTCACTTCTTTGCATGTTTGTTATGCAGGTGGAGTTAAAAGTTCAGATATTGCATACTTAGTTGCAAATTCTATTTTGGTCACATTTTCTAACTTGAGAATTGGAGTGCTCTTTCAGTAGGAAACTCAGGAGCATCTCAATCTTTGCTTTTTATCTTGCAGCAAAGAAAAATGTGAGTGAGAGAATTGCACCCGTTGCTTGTTAAGGAATGAAGCAAAACCCATACTGCTTTTTGGAAGGGCTGTATCCAGCATCTTTTGGCATACTTTATGCTAGCCTGTGCATGTTGTATGTAATATAGTAATTTGTACCTCTATCCCAGCTTTTCCCAACTTGGTGCTCACCATATGTGTTGGACCTTGCCTTCCATCAGCCCAAGCCAGTGGATCAGTAATTCTGGAAGGTGGAGTCAAAATCATCTGGAGGGAATTAGATTTGACAAGACTGTCCATTGTTCCTTGAATCCTCATTCCATGATTGGATATTGTAGCAGCTCATCCAGGGTTCAGAGGCTGGGAGTTAAGAGCCAGATTTAAAGAAAAATAAGGAGATCTTACCCTATTGTCTAGTAATATGTGTTTTCTGAGAAAAGTCATATTTCAGTTTGTATTTCATTATTTATAGCATTTTACCTCTTCTTTATAGCTAAAAAGGCACATAATTTACAAATATCCTTAGAAAGACAGGCCCTTTGCTCAAACGTACCATATTAAAGTCATGATACACAAGGAAAAGGTGGTTGAGAATGAAGTGATCCCTGAAAATCATGTGAAAGTAGCTCCTCAGAGCAGTGCCCTTCAGTTCATGGAAGGCAGGTATCGGATCCAAGCCTTGATCCTTTTGCCATATGGCATTCCTTTGATGTTAATGTAAGAGGTTAAGATAAACTGGCTTATTAGACAGAAACAGCTTTTTTCATTGGTGCTACTGCATATTTAAAGAGAACTAGCAAATGTAGGAGATGTTTCTTTCAGGTCCATTTGCAAGTGAAATTATTTTATGTGGTCACCCTGGCAAATATCAGAGCATTCAGTTGTGCCTTTATTATTTGTTCTAAAAGTGAGATATGCAAGCTTTAAACACATCTGGTTCTTGCATTTACCCCTTACACTGGAAGCTTGAAAAGCAGATGCATAAGTTACCTTGTTACTTGCTGTTTTTCTGTGATTTTCAAAGCCATTATAAAGCAAAACATATATGGGAAAGAATTACTGTAACTAAAGCAGCCACATTTGAAGAGTTTCTTTTCCTTTGATTAGTGCATAACAGGTTTTAGAGGATAGTTGGGAGTAGCAAAAGTTCTATAAATTCAGGTGGTTTGTAATAAAAATTAGTAAACTGAAATAACTAGCCCTAAATGAAGGCAAATGTATGTCTGTTGCCCAAATGATCTTGAAGAAACCTGTTTGAGTATTTTTTGTTTGCACCACTAAAACACAAAATAAGTGTGCCCTTCGATTGCATCATGCAACAAACAGGCCTCCTGTGTAGTAACATTTACTTACAACAACACCAGAACCGATTTAATTGAACAAAGCTCTGTAAGCCTTTAGGGACCAGGCCTTGTCTAAATGAATGGTTAATTCTTGTAGCTATAAAGCAAATGCTAAATCCCACCAGGAGGAGGTAAATGCTTCTATTTTGTTGTTTGCTTTGCTTGTTCTAAACTATGTAATCATTAAGGAAATGTTTACATCCTGTTGCTGTTACATGTTCTTAACCAATCTATACACATAAGATGTTAGGATCAAAATAAGTTTTGTTTTGCTTTGTTTGTATTTTGTTTTGTTAAAAATCCCTGTTTGCTTCCAGAGGGAGTGGATTATTTTGTATTGTTTAAAACATTTCACATTTGCCCTTTTAATACTGAATAAATAGGTGCAAGTCCACAGGTAAATTAGAATACATGGAAATGTTTTGGAACAAAGAATGCTTGAAGGTGCATTTTTATAATGCTATTCATCAACTGAGACCTAGCAATCTTTTGTTGATTCATTATTTGTATGTTCTTTGCTACAAACAGAAGCATAATGCTACGATTCAACTAGCAAATACAACTAATTCTACCCAAATTTTGGAAGTGGCCGTGGAAAAAAATTGGTGACTGTGAATATATTAATTCACAAGAGAGAATTATCTTCTAGGAAGTGAACATATCAAACATTTTTCCTTAAAGAAATAATATGTGGTACCTGCCATAGTGAATGAACTCTTCAAGTGTTTTCAAAATGCTGGTTTGGGTAGGAAAAGTATTCTCTAATCCTTCTTAAACAATACCTAGGAAGTATATTGGCTTTTATTTATTTTCTTTATGCAGCTTTTTTTGAATCTGCATTCAGTGCATTTGTTGTATTGTTTAGTGATTTAAATATTTTAGGAATTATTACAATTTTAATTTTGTGATTCATCTAGAAAGGTACAGTATGTTTAATAGGTGAAAAAGCTGAGGGAACAAACAAACAATCACCTGATTTCCAAGGACCAGACTCCTCCTCATATGGGAGATTATAATTCTGCTTAATGAGCCACATTCTATAAGAGGACAACTTGCAGAAGTGCTCTGCCTGATTTTGGAGTCTCCCCCAACCACAGTGAGGTCGCCTCACTCTCTGTGTAGCATTTTCAGGGAGCTGATGGTGTTTCCTTGGGAAGGAAGAATTAGGGTAATTCACTTCTGACAGCATGGTTGATCCATCACAAGTTTCATAGAATAGTAGAGTTGGAAGGGGCCATGAAGGTCATCGAGTACAACCCCTTGCTGTTGCAGGACACCATGTTACACCATCCCACTCCGATTGCTGTCCTGTTTTGCCTTGAATCTTTCTCATGTGGGAGAGCCCACCACCTCTCTAGGCAGCT